CCACCAATATACCAATTCCCTCCCAATCCCAACCTTCTCCCTTTGGTACACAACAAAGTTCTTTATATTGCTTATTCCAACAAACTTTAAAACTGGCAAATACGGGGGCTGGAGTGATAGCACAGCGGATAGGGTGTTTGCCTTGCACGCGGCTGACCTGGGTTCGATTCCCAGCATCTCATATGGTGTCCCCAAGCACTGCTAGGGGTGATTTCTGAATGCAGAGCCAGGAGTAACCCCTGTGCATTGCTGGGTGTGACCCAAAAAGGAAAAAAAAACTGGCAAACAGAATGATTGGAAAATAAATTGGTAAGGGCCAATTAGTGATGACCATGTGATCTTGACCTATGTAAATAAGAAAATTAAAACCATTTAATGCAATATAAAATGCCTATTCTCATTTACATACATATGTTTTTAACTCTGGAATCTAAAGTATATTACATTAAGTTTTATTTTATACTTGGATCTTGTTATGGTAATAATCATGTCTCACCTGACAAGAGCATATCCTGATTTTACTTTTAAGTTCTTGAACTCCATACAGCTTTAGCTGTGAAAATTTTCATTCCCCCTGATAGTGTACAAAGGTTCCCCTTTCCCCTTTCCACACACCCTGGCCAATACCTGGTTTTTTTTTTTTTTTTTTGCTTTTTGGGTCACACCTGGAGATGCACAGGGGTTACTCCTGGCTCTGCACTCAGGAGTTACTCCTGGCGGTGCTCAGGGGACCATATGGGACGCTGGGAGTCGAACCCGGGTCGGCCGCGTGCAAGGCAAACGCCCTATACGTTGTGCTATCTCTCTAGCCCCAACCTGTGTTTTGTTGTTGTTGTTGTTGTTGTTGCTCTTTTTTATTTTGTGGGGATCATGCCCAGTGGTGCTGGAGATGATTCTGGCACAGTCCTCAGGGATACGTGTGACTCTAGGAATGGAGAGCATATGCCCAGTCCCCGGAGCCATCTCCCTGGCCTCTTGTTTATCTTCTGGACCGTCCTTCTCACAGGTGTGATGGATTATCTCACAGTAGTTATGATTTGCATTTCCTAGATAATTACTAGTATTGAGTGTTTCTTCACTCAATGAAAAGACACTGTTGGTCATCTATAGTTTGTCTTTGGGATAATGTAAAGCCCCATGTTACTTTTGGGGGCTGTTTTGTTGTATAAATGCCTTCCACATTGTGGATTAACCTCTGATCACATTCATGATTTGCAGATACCTTCATTGGTAAGATGCTTTTAAATTTTTTTGGTTGTTTTTTTTTTCTGTACAGCAGGTTTTTAGTTTAAGGAGACCCACATTTTTGGTTGTTTGTTTCTGGACTACAACTGGCAGTGCTCAGGACTTGCTATGCACTCAGGGAAATCTCTGCTGGCGGTGCTCAGGGTACCATATAGGGTGTCAGGAACTGAACCCATGTCAGCTGCATGCAAGGCAAGTGCTCCACCTGCTGTACTACAGCTTTGACCCAACCCACGACTTCTTTCTTCTTTTCCTCCTCCTCCTCCTCCTCCTCCTCCTCCTCCTCCTCCTCTTCCTCCTCCTCCTCCTCCTCTTCCTCTTTCTTCTTCTCTTTCTCCTCCTCTTCCTCCTCCTCCTCCTCCTTCTTCTTCATTACTTATTTTGGGCAGGGGCACACTTGGCAATGCTCAAGTGTTATTACTGTCTCTGCACTCAGATCACTCCTGGCAGTGCTCAGGGGACTAAATGGGATGCTGAGGATTGAACCCAGGACAACCGCTTGTAAGGCAAGTGCCTTACCTGCTATACTATCTCTCCAACCCCTCAACTAACTTATTTTTGTATTTGTTGACTTGCCTTATTTCACTGCAAAATCATTGCATTTTTTGACAATATATATTTTTTAAGTGGGGAATGACTTAAACAATCTACTTTCTTCTTCTTCTTCTTCTTTTTTTTTTTTTTAAAGAATTGTGCTGGTATTACTTTAAAGTCATTTCCTGGAGAGATAGTACAAAGATTTTTATTTTATTTATTTATTTATTTATTTATTTTTGCTTTTTTGGGTCACACCTGGCGATGCACAGGTGTTACTCCTGGCTCTGTACTCAGAAGTTACTCCTGGCAGTGCTCAGGGGACCATATGGGATGCTGGGAATCGAACCCGGGTTGCCGCGTGCAAGGCGAACGCCCTGCCCACTGTGCTATCTCTCCAGCCCCTATGGCACTTGTTTAGAAAGACCGTGACCCTGGTTTGAATTCTGACACTGTATATGGTCCCCCAAGATCTTCAGGTATGGTCCCTGAGCCAGAGCAAGGAGTGATCTTTGAGTACTGTTAGGTGTACCCCCACCCCCTAACAATCATTTATTACTGGCCAGAGATGATACAGGGGCTAAGTTGCTTTTCTTACTTCCCACCAACAGTGGTTCATTCCCCAAGTCCCTATATGGTCCCGAGAGCACTGCCAGGAGTGATCCTTGAGCACAGAGCCAAGAATATGCACTGGGCACCACTAGATGTGGCTCCAAAACAAACAAACAAAAAAACCCAAATGCATTCAAATTTCAAGAGCTGTGCCAAATTGCCTTTGAAGAGACAACCTCTTTATAGCCCAGCAATGAATGAGGATGTCTTTCTCTACACTGTTCATTTTTGCCGATCTACTTTCTAAAAACTAGTATCCTGGGGCTGGAGAGATAGTACAGAGGTAGGGTGCTTGCCTTGCATGCAGCCGACCTGGGTTCAATTCCAGGCATCCCATGTGTTCCCTGGAGCACTTCCAGGAATAATTCCTGAGTGCAGAGCCAGGAGTTGTAACCCTGGAGCATCGCTGGGTGTGCCCCCAAACAAAAAATAGTATCCAATCTTTATTTCATTTTGGGGGAGATTGGGCCACACATGGTGGTGCTCAGGGATCATGCCTGGCAGTGTTGGGGATGAGCTGAGCAAGACAGTATAATATAGTATCTCTCCAGTTCTGAGAGTATTTTGGGTCCTCACCTGGCAGTGGTCAGGGGCTATTCCTGGCTCTGTGCTCAGTGATGACTCCGGTGGGGTACTCAGGGGACTAGGCACCTGTGGGCCAGGGATCTAAGTGGGGTCCACCACATGCAAGGCAAGTGTCTTACCTCTAGGACTATCTCTCAGCCCATATTTATCGTATTTGGTGGTGGTGGGGGGGGAAGAAGTGGCTGCTAAATCTGGCCATTTTGGGGTGTTGTTCCTTTTTCTATGCTCAGGGATTCCTCCTGGTGGTGCTCGAGGACCATGCAGTGTAGGGAACCTAACTGGCATAGGCTACATGCAAGGACCTTCGTCCCTGTCCTATCTCTCTGGCTCTGACTCTTTATTTTAACGAATTAATTTGCTTTCGGTATTACACCTGGTTGTGCTCAGGGGTTACTCCTGGCTGTGTTGTAACTCCTGGTGGGGCTCCAGGGCCCAGAGGTGGTGCCAGGGATTGAACCCAGGTCAGCTGAGTGCAAGGCAAGTGCCCTACCCATGTACTATCTTTCCAGCCCTCAACAGCTCTTCTGAAAAACTAGAGGTCACATGGGGGCTGGAGCAATAGTACAGCGGGTAGGGCATTTGCCTTGAACGCAGCCGACCCGGGTTCGATTCCCAGCATCCCATATGGTCCCCTGAGCACCACCAGGGGTAATTCCTGAGTGCAGAGCCAGGAGTAACCCCTGAGCATTGCTGGATGTGACCCCAAAAAGAAAAAACAAACAAAAAACTAGAGGTCTCATTCTGCCCAGTGCAGCCCCTGTCTCTCCAAGGCTGCATGGGGACTTCTTCCAGACCCCAACCTCCTCTGCCAGTGCTCTGCAGGGGAAAGTGAGGAGGAGGGGATCAAGGGGGTCAGGGCTGAGTACACTACTGTGCACTCATTTCGATTTACTGAATATAAACATGCATGGGCAGGGTTCCAGGTGCCCGGACACAGCCGCGAGAGGCACGCTCAGAGAGCTTCTCTCAAACAGCTGACGCTGCAGTGTGTGCACGGATCAGCAAACAAGACAAGAGATACACAAGTCAGTGACTGAAGTACCCCCAGCCATGGCAGCCCCACGCCCCCCACCCCAACCTCCCGTATTTCTTTTCTGTATATTTATGTCCTTGTATGTTTATCATTTAAAGTGAGAGGTTAACAGTAAAGATCAGGTACACACTGACATTTGCCTCCAATGCCACTGTGTTCCAAGGGAAGGGACACAGTCATGGAATGAATGGTGTGGGGTCTCTCTTGATCAGAGGGGACAGGGGAGGGAAGGGGAGGGCACCCCAGGAACCGAGATGAGAGCAGAGAATTTGAGATCTCCACTTCCAGAGCTCCCAACTGGAACGCCACCTGGCAGAGCTCCCTCTTGCCAGGTAACCTCTTCTGAAGGGAAACGGGGGAGCCCCGGGCCCTCAGTCCCCCCACCCCCATCAGTAAGTAACCCTGTGGTCCCTGCAACCTGGGAGGTTGGTGGGGGCGCACAGCACCGTCCTGCTTCTTACCCCACTTGCACACTTGTGGGGGAGTGCAATCACGCTTAACCCAGCCTGGACAAAGCTCCTACTAGGTGCCAGGGTCGGGTTCAGCACGCTTGCGCCGCCACCGTCTCTGCCTTCACCCACCCGGGCTGTGCGCGGCGTAACCTGGATGATCCACTTTTTTTTTCTTCCCCCTTCTTCTTTCGACAGAGAAAGAAACCGAGGCGGGCCACCTGCTGCGCCTCACGGGGTTCCAAAGGAAGCCGAGTTCCGGGAAGAGAGAGAAGTTTCTGCCGCTCCAGCCGGGTGGGGGTTAAAGGTGGTGCCGGTGGTGCCTGGGTGGGGGGTGGCTGGGTTCAGGGGCGTGCGCCCTGGCTTCGGAGTCGGTCCGCGGAGCCCCCACACCGGGGTGGGGGCGGGGGGGCCTGTCCCAGCCCGGACCTGCCCCCCTCCCCGGTCCCCGGGGCCAAGGGGCGCGCGGCGGGCTGCGCGGGCGGGCGGGCGGGGAAGGCGCGGGGACAAAGGCCGGCGCGGGGGCCCCGGGACGCCGGCAGGGGACGTGGCGGCGGCGGGGCGCACGGGGGCGCCGCCGGGGCCCGCGCAGGCCGATCGGCGAACATGGCGGCGGGCGGCCGGGACACCCTACCTGAGCACTGGTCCTACGGCGTGTGCAGCGACGGCCGCGTCTTTTTCATCAAGTGCGGAGCGGGCGGGGGCGCGCGGCGCGGGCTCGGGGACGCGGGGGCGCGGGGGGCGCGGGGCTCGGGGGGTCGCGGGGCGGGTTGCTGGAGCGCTCGGGGCGCGGGGGGCGCTGGGACGCTGGGGGTGCGGGGCAGGACGGACGCTGAGGCTCTGGGGGCACGGGGGCGCGGGGGGCGCGGGGACTCTGGGGCGTTGGTGGCGCAGGGGGACGCGGGACGCTCGGGCGCGGGGGCGCTGGGGCCGCGGGCAATCTGGGGCTTTGGGGGCGCAGGAGAGGCGGGGCGCAGAGGGCGCGGGGCCGCTGGGGGGCGCGGGGGCACCGGGGCGCTGGGGGCGCGGGAACTCGGGCTCTGGGGGCGCGGGGCGGAGGGGGCGCCGGGGGCGCTGCGTTGCGGGGGCGCGGGGCGCGGGCGGCGGCGTTGACGCTAACAGGTGCACGTCTGTCCCCGCAGTGACCAGCTCCGCTGCACGACCTGGCTACACCCGCGCACCGGGGAGCCCGTCAACTCGGGCCACATGATCCGCTCAGGTGGGCGCCCGAGCGCCGTGGTCGGCCGGGTGGGCGGCTGGCGGGGTCGGCGCACGCTTGCCAAGAGGCGGGGAGCGGGGCGCGCCGGGGTGGCTCGGAACTTCGACCCAACTTTTCTCGCCTTTCCGCAGATCTGCCTCGCGGCTGGGAAGAGGGCTTCACGGAGGAGGGCGCCAGCTACTTCATTGAGTGAGTGACCGCGGCGCCTCGGGGTCTCCCCACCGCCCCGTCCCTGCGCGCCCCTACGCCGTGCCCGCTGCGCGCCCCCCGTCCTCCCGCGCCGGTCCCCGGGTGCGCGCGGGAGCCGGGTTTTGTGTGCTCGCCTCGGACCGAGAGGCGGCGGGGCGGGGTCCGCAGCTCGGCTGGGGGCTCCGGGTCCCAGATCGGTGGTAGGGTGGGGGTCCCAGATCCCGCCGGCCTGAAGGACCCTGCGGGGCGGGGAGGTGGGGCCGGAGTTTGCAGACTTGGCGCCTGCGACCCGGCGGTTGGGAGGGAATCGGGCGCGGGTGCGAACAGCGGGACACGCCTGCTCCCTGCCGCCGGATCTGGGGCTGCGTCGAGCCAGGGGAGAACCGCCAGCCCGGGAGGGTCGGGCTGGGGTTCGGGTGGGAGTGGCGGGGAGAGGAGAGTCGCACGAGGAGTTCGCAGCAGAAGCCGGGGGCTGGGGTGGGGCGCTGGGGCGGCGCGAGGGAACGGCGCTGGGCGAGCCGGGCCTGGCTGTTGGGACCAGGATCCTGGGGGCTGGTGGGCACCGCATCCCCCTCGCCCACCCCGCGGCGACTGGAGCGCGGGCTGCGGGGCCGGGTGGGGGAGGGGAGGGGAACCCACCAGCCAATGGCGTTTCTCCAGCGCTCTGCGTCTCTTGGACCGGCGCGCAAGTGGACCCGTCTTGCCTGTTTGCTCTGGACTAGCCCCTAGCGATTCCCGCACAGTCCCGAGGGCCCAGACCCGGGGGCGCTGTGGACGTCACGGCCGGGGCAGTTAAATCCAGGCTGGCTCTGGCAGAGAGTTTTCACTTTCCTCACTCTGCCGGGCCCCAAAGCTTTACAGGCCGCCTGCAGGCCTGTTGCATGCCCGCAGGTAGGTCAGAAACTGGTTTTGATTCTTTGCCTCAGTGCCTGGCACAGGGTAGGCGCGCTCGGTAAATGTTTGCTCACCCAATGAATAAATGAAGTAGTCAAAGGTCTGTAAGGTGGTCTGACTAATACTCCGCTACGCGGAGGGCTGTGAGTCACAGTGACACGCTGGCCAGCAGAGGAGCAGTATATTTGAAACATAAAGGTACTCTCAGGGAATCCCGCCCTCTCCCCTGCTTTGGAGTCCCGCAGGGTGAAGAGTGCAGGTGGACAGACCTGATTCAGAGGGTCGAGGTTTTGGTCCTCCCGCCCGCTCTGTGTATGCCAGGAAGAGAATTCCTGCGTCTCATCACTGCTTCCATTCCGAATTAGCACATTTTTCCTCCCTGCCCAGCACATGTGGTTCTTTCTGAGTGTTTTTTAGATTACAGAAATGAGTTGGGGGCTAGAGTGATAGCCCAGTGGGTCGGGCGTTGGCTTTACACGTGGCCGACATCCCATATGGTCCCCCCTCCCCCCCCAGCAGGGCCAGGAGTAATTCCTGAGTGCATGAGCCAGGAGTAACCCCTGTGCATCGCCAGATGTGACCCAAAAAGAAAAAAAAAAAGGAAGAAATGAGTGGAGCAAACAAGGCCTGGGGGTTCAAGGAGTTTATAATTTAGTGAGTAAAGAAACAGACAAGCGCTAAACAAATAAGAATTATAGCAGGGGGCGGAGAGGGCGCTTGCCTTGCACAGAGCCCGCTGGGGTTTGATCACCTGGCACACTATGTGATTCCCCAAGCCCACCAGGAATGATCCCTGAGTGCAGAGCCAGAAGTAAGTCCTGGGCACCACAGGGTGTGGCCTCCAAACCAAAAGAATAACATCAGAGAGTGGTAAGTGCTGTGCAGGAAATTAAAACAAGGGCTTGCTCGCCAAGCCGGTGTTCTGCCTTGAACATGGATCTCACTGACTTATCTCTGTGTTTCTTTGCTTGCCTGTTTCCTCCCTGGAGAAGCCCGTGTTCTCTCTCAAACATGAATCCCCTCTCTTTCTTTTCTCTCACATCTTCTTAAGCAAGTTTCAACCAATAAAAGCCACCTTGCTTCACACACACACACACACACACACACACACACACCCCAAAAGTTAAAGTAAGGACGGATAATATTAAGTGAATACATTGAAAGGCTAATGGCATTTGTTTCTTTTTTCCTTCATGGGGTCATAATGTTTAATATTAACTTTTTTTCTTTTTTTGGGGGGGGTCACACATAGCAGTACTCTGGGGGACCAACAAGTACCAGGGATTGAACCCAGACCTCTGGTGTGCAAAGCATACGTTACAGCCCTTTGGGCTAACTGCTCCCCCACTGCCAGCCTCTATAGCAGACTTTAAAAATAGGGGCCACGGAGCTGGAGCTATAGCACAGTGGGTAGGGCGTTTGCCTTGTACACAGTTGACCCGGGCTCAATCCCCAGCATCCCATATGGTCCCCCGAGCATTGCCAGGAGTAATTCCTGAGTGCAGAGCTAGGAGTAACCCCTGAGCATCGCCGGGTGTTACCCAAAAAGAAAAAAAAAGTAGGGGCCACTCCCAATGTTGCTGGACCTAGTGGTTTACGCCGACAGTTCAGGTTGGCAGTGCCACTGTGCCATACTTGAGCCCATTGGTGTTCAGTTACTACCCTAGTTGTTCTGGGTATGTGGTACCTGGGATGGGACTTAAGCCCCTGCACTTGCTACATGTGTGTGCTGCCAGTTATCATCAGAGTCCTCAACAGGTGACATTTAGGGTCTAAGGGACTGAATAGATAGCATGGGGGTGGGAGGGAAATGAGCTTTGCCTTGCATGTGACCAACCCCAGTTTGATCTGTGGCACCCTACGGGATTTCCTGAGTACCATCAGGAGGAAGCGAAAGTCATCTTTTTGGTGTATTGATCGTAACCTCATGTGCCAGGAGTTTTAGGAAGATGCCCAGTGCAGGGAGAAAGCAGCATGAGGAAAGATGACAGAGGAAGACTGGAGCGATAAAGCAATGAGTTAGAGTGCTTGCCTTGCATACCACCAATTTGGGTTCGATTCTGGGCATCCCATATGATCCCCTGAGCACCACCAGGAGTGATCCCCAAGCACAGAGTCAGGAGAGGAGTAAGCCCTGGACATTGCAAGGTGTGGCCCAACCCCCCTCCCTTTTTTTTTTTAAGAAGAGGGGCTGGAGCAATAGCACAGTGGTTAGGGCTTTTGCTTTGCACGTGGCCGACTTGGGTTCTATTCCCAGCATCCCATATGGCCCCCTGAGTACCACCAGGAGTAACTCGTGAGTGTATGAGCCAGGAGTAACCCCTGTGCATCGCCGGGTGTGACCCAAAAAGCAAAAAATAAAATAAAAAAATTAAAATTAAAAAAGATTACAGGAGAGAGAGAGAGAGAGAGAGAGAGAGGGAGAGAGAGAGAGACTTTTCAAAACTTGATTGTGAGTCCAGTGAGAAGCCATCAGAGTGCTATGGTTAGGGGACTGAGGCAGTGTGATTGATTGGCTGGGCTATTTATTTGTTTGTCTAGGGGATGTGCAGGGGATATTTCTGGCTCCCTCTTCACAAGTGACCCCTGACAGTGCTATGTGGGGCAGGGACTTTCCACTAGAGTCGAGGCAGAGAGGCTGTATACAAGGCAAGTGTCTTATTTACTGCACCCCCCCCACCCCACCCCACCCCCACCAGTCTGGCTCTGGATTGGCCTTTGAGAAGGGCCAGTGTGCTTGCGCAGAGTGGGCTGCTGGTGGGCAGTGTTGCAGGCCGGGGAGCAGTGCGAGGCGGTGGCCAGCGCATCCAGAAGGAGCAGAAGGAGGCTGGTAGCTCTGGAGACAGACCCAAGGGGTCAGCAGGAGGCCCAAAGATGATTGGATATTGTCTCTGAGAGAACGGCAAACGTCAGAGATGACTCTGAAGTGGAGGGGGCTCATCTTCTCGAGACGGGAAGACCAGGGTTTCGGGTGAGGGGAGAGCAGGAGAGCTTGTTTTGCCAGGTTACCTTGGAGACGTGACTGTGGCAGCCAGTCAGATGCAGGATTCTGAAGCCCCAGGAAGGAGAGGCCTGAGATGCATCTGGGAGTCCCAGGTATTTTTCCAGGCTAGATGCCCACGGGAGGGAAGGGTGGGCTTGAGGAGCGGCCACCTCCAGAGGAGGTCCGGGCTAAGGCGCCTGCAGTCCGAGGAGGTAGGAGAACGCCCGGGAGAGGACGAGGTTGCCGAAACTCAAGGACGAAGCCTGACTGGAATAGTGGCAGAGAAAATAGGGGGTGATAGACCGGAGAGGCTCAATACAGGCACTTAGTTTTGGGGTCTCCCACACAGTGCTGAGGAGCTGGGGTCCCTCTCGGCAACCAACGGTGGCGCAGGAGCGCAGGGAAATGCCAACCATTTGGCAGGTTGCAGTTTCTGAGAGGGCCAGAGGGAGGGACTGGGACGTGACCTGCGTGTCTTGGCCTCAGAGGGGAGCAGGAGCAGGACCCATGCTTGACAGGAGCCCGTGAGGGGGCCAGGTGGCTTCTGTCTTTCCCAAGAAGCGCTGGGTACAGGCTTGAGCTAAGGGCTGTGAGGGCTCAGTAGGAAGTAGCCTTCAGCCCCCACCTCCGCCATCTGATCCACTCACTCTTCTAGGGCAACACTATGAAGTCCCTAGGGATGACCCCTTCACTCAGCATGAGGCTCTCCAAATCCATCCACGTAGCAGCAATTGCATGATGTCATTGTTTCTTAGAGCTAAGTAGTATTCCACTGAGTGTATGGACCATAGTTTCTTTGTTATTTTATTTTTTTTAATTTAATTTTTTATTAGTGAAACACCATGAGGTGCAGTTATAGACTTACAAATTTTTGTGCTTGGGTTTCGATTATACAATGATCAAGTACCCATCTCTCCACCAGCACCCATCCTCCACCACCACGGGTCCCAGCATCCCTCCCACCCCATCCCCCCATCCCCCCCTGCCTCTGTGGCAGGGCATTTCCCCTTGTTCTCTCTCTCTTCTTTTGGGTCCTGTGTTTTGCAAGAGAGGCATTGAGTGGCAATCATGTTCAGTCTATAGTCTACTTTCAGCGTGCTTCTCCCACCCTGGGAGGATCCTC